CCGGGAGCGGCGGCGGCGGCGGCGGCTGCGCAGTGGGGACGCGCCCGCCCCTCCCGGGTCCCTCAGGGAGCGCCCACGTCCCCTCAGCGGCCCTCGGGTACCTTCAGGGACCGGCATGTCTGCTCAGCCACACGCGGCATGCCCGTCTCCCCCTCAAGTGATGCCCACGTTCCCTCAGTGACTCCGACGTACCCTGAGAGACTCGACAGACACCCACCTCTGCACAGTGACCCCCATGTCACCTCAGTGGGATCCTGAGCACCTGCCACCCTCGGTGACCCTCATGGCCCCAGGGTGGCATGCAGGGCACCTTCATGCCTTTCAGAGACCTTCATGACACCTCAGCAACACACGGGGCATCCGCCTTCCCTCAGTGATGCATGAGGCACTTATGTCAGGAAAATTAACCCACAAACACCAGAGGTTTATATCCAAAAAGAAGACACAGGAGTCTTGTTACTTTATTTGAATAAAGGGAAAGGCCATGGGGCATTCCCCTGGGGTCTCTCAAACTTTTAGTGGATGCAGACTCCTTTTTTTCCTAATTTTCTGGCTGCATTTCCCACTCTCTTTACCCATTGGTGGAGGTATTTGAGAGGTACAGGCTTCCCAAATCACCTAATACAGACCCCCTTCTAATGCATACCCCCCATTTTTCTTATCCTATGGATCTGATGGTTCCACGCATTGCTTCTTCCATCTCTCAGTTCCTAGCTTTACCCACAGTTTGTTTGTAAAGAGAAATCTCTCCCATATCTTTCAACTGGATACCTCTTCTGAGAACCTAGTATCAACTCAGTGACTCACATGTCCCCTCAGCATCACTTGCAGCACCCACCTTTCCCTCAGTAACCCACACGTCCCGTCAGCAAATCCAGGGGCACCAGCCATCCCCTCAGTAACTCACTCACCCTGAGTACAGCCCCAGGGGCCAGCAGCAGGCAGAAAGCCGCAGGGGCTGGGGAAAAAGCTCTGCCCTGCTTACAGTGTGGGCTGAGGGCCAGGAGAGCTGCATGAGGGCTGGGAGAGCTGCATTTCCACCCTGAGGTTTTGGAGACAGGAGCTTTCACCCTCCTTATAGGGCTGCCCCTCTCTCCAGACAGCCAAAGGAGCACAATGGCAAAAGGCCAGCAACAGCAAAGCAGAGACCCAGCCCTGCACACAGGGAGGTCGCCCAGCACAAACCAGCCGTGGCACCCTGAAGTTGCCCACCACACTCTCATGTATCCCTGCCCTGGGAATGCCAGGAATATGCTTTGCCCAGAGGGCCTTACTGTGGCTCCTCTTGGGCTCAAAGTTTCTGCTCTTCTCACTCACTCATACCTAAAGTCACAGAGCTTGGTGTCCCCCACTGCAAGAGGAACAAGGCTCAACACCCAGGCAGTTGAGCTCACGGCCTAGGGCTGATGGGCTCCAATCCCGAGGACAGGGAGGGCACACGCCCAGCCCCACAGCTCTCTAATGCCAGGGCCAGGGTTACACACCTGATTACAGGGGGCCTCCTTCTAATCATCTGCTGAGGGAAATTCCTGGAAAGCACCAGAGAAGACGAGTTTCAGGAACAAGGCGGGTGCCTGGGGGCAGCTTATGGCCTCTGACATCCAACTCCTCAGGGCTTCCCACAACCCCGGCCCCTTAGGATCTGCCCCAGCAACGCAGGCAGCAACACATGGGCAGGAGGACACAGATGGTGCTTCCTGGATGGGACAGGGCTTGTGGCTTCAGCACAACCACCAAAGGCCAAGGGGCTTCTGGCCATCCTCCCCACACCACTGCACGCCTGGGAAGCTTGCTGAGCACGACCACCCTTTTCCCTCTCTTCCCCTATGCCCTGTGCACCATGGGCAGCAAAAGAAAGCTCCTGGGAGTCTGTCCATTGTAACATATCCTATATTTACATCCTAAAGAAAATAAAAAAGAAGAAAATAACAATCTTTAATGTAGTAAATTAAAGGGCCAGGAGACCTTCGGCTCCCTTTAACAAACCTTTATTAGAGAGAACTGGTCCCAGAGGTGGGGGCTTGGGGTGCGCGCCACCGCCGCTGCTCCCCGTGGTCGACATCGAGGAGGAGGATCACGCAGGCCTGTCGCCATCCACTGTCAGCAGGACTGGAGCCTCTATCCTCACTGGGATCGCCCAGAGACTCTGTCTCAGGCTCAAAGGTCTAGGGGTGTCTTCCCTCTCAAGTCCTGCCCAGGTCATGGCAACCAGCTTGCTGGACTGGGATTGGCGCACCCAGTCTCCCCAGGTCCCCGCTGCCTCCACAGTGGGGTCCTCCAGATGTTCCCTGAGAGTGGCTCGTTGTCCAGGGCTGTCTTTGCTCCCAGGTGGTAATATGATTTTAATATGCACCCGTGTGCAAGTCTTTATGGGAAATGGGGAAGTTCATCCTGGGCAGCAGCGGCTAAATTGCCTGACGGGTTGGAAGAGAATAAGGGATGGGGATACAAATGCAAGGATAAAACAAGTACGAACTTCTTAACAGTGAACCCTTTTGGGACTTACAACACCAAAACCCCTTATCCAGGGACCTAAACTGGGATTGAAACAGGAACATATAATTTGAACATTGGGATTTTTATTTATAACAATATCCCCCCTCTTTTAATTTGACCAGGCATCAGCCTGCGTCAACTTGTTGTTTCAGGCTCCTGGTAGTGAAATTTCTTTAGTCTTTGGTATTGGTCATATACCCTTTTTGCTTCTTTCAGCTCTGAACTTTCTAGCATTAGGATCTTAGTTTTTCCCTTCTCTTGGGTTATTTCTAACTGAGTTGTAGATCGTGCTGCTAGACTGTATTACTGAGGTAATTATTCTGATCAAACATGGGATGACACAGGGAAGAAATAACAGTCCTGCTAGTCCCGCTATACCAATGAATGCCACCTTTTCCCACCAGCCCTTAAAGGACCAGAAACTATCCCACCAATCAGTATTCAGGATCGGCATCCATTCTTGGTTCCCTACGTAGGAGATTTTTCTGATCTCTTTAGAAATGTTCCAGATTACTTCACTTTTATCATCTATTTCTAGGCAGCATTCAGAGGTGTTGAACTTCCCACAGATTTCCCCCTCATCAGCGAGAAGGTAATCTACTGCCAGTCGGAGTTGGTACACCAGGTACATCAGGTCTGGGAGAGGTGGTCACTTATATGATCAAGAGCCAGGGCTGTTTTGTTTGATGTTATTTCAATTACAGCTTGGAGCCTGATTATTCTGTTTAACATGTATATTGGGGTCCTATATCCCCAGGACCCATCCTGGGCCCAGGTCGCTGGCCCATAAGTTCTTATTATTTCCTCCAGGGTCCAGACTGTTCCTTTCCAATTCTGGGTCCCTCCTGTGCTTATTACACTTCTCTTCTTCCTTTTTAGGGGCCTCTTTAGGTTGTCATATAGTGGTACTCCAAGCTCTGAGCCAGCCTCTTTTGGGAGCAGGAAGAAAGCTGGCTTTATCACCCCAATCGTGCAGCTACCTGACCAGTCTCCTGGTAGATGTGTATAAGCTGCATCCTCGCAGATCCAAAAGAAATCATCTGGGGCTTCCCAAAAACCCTCCCTGTCTTCATAGGGGTACTCCCAATGCTTTGATAGGCTTCTAATTCCCCAGAAGGGATTGATCCCTTTTTCTGCACATTCATAAAGGTTATATCCTTTGTGATGAATGCACCCTTTTTCCCTCTTCTCTAAGGATCAATATCTTAGGTTGGGCTCCTGGGGGAACCCATTTAGTTCCTAGATTCTTCGTTATATCTTTTGCATGCCATCCGCCCCACCAGGGTTCTATATCTTTTTCCAGTTTGTAGAATACAGTCTTCCCCAATTACCTTAGCCTTTAATTCCCATTTTTCTCTTCTCCTATACCCTGGTGTGCTTTGGCCTTCCCCAGTTCATTTTATGCTTAGAATTTCTCGAGGTTTCAAGCTAATTCCCTCCCAGGGCCAAATATCAGACATTTTAGTACTCCCACATACCCAACAATCAGTTATATTTAATTCCTTGCTGATGTTTTCAACTGAATCAATGAACAAGTTCTTCCCACTCAAATTTTCCCATTCTTCATTTCCCACGCTCATGTCCACTCTTTTCTCCTTTACCACATCAGGTTCACCTTTTACTGGTTCGTTCTTTTCAAAGCACAGCCAAGTATCCCTCATGGGACAGTCTCCCAAAAGACGTTCTCTAAAAGTGGCCGTATTTCTGGTAATCCAATATGTTTTTCCGTTTTCTTGGCATTCTTCTAATTGTGATTTGTTATAACAAGAAGGACTCAAATTTGTGTGGACCCTTACCAGGGACCCTAGATTTTCCCCATCATACAAGGGATAATAACGTTTCATGCAAGAGTCTGTCCCCATGGCATTGGTGAGGTGCATTGCTATCACCAGACCTACCATGAGCCTTGTGATGATCCTTTTAGGCTCCCTCCTGTCCGTGACTCCCAAGAGTCCAGCAGGAACCATGTTTGATCTCCCCTGGTCTTGCCTCTTGGGGTTTTCCTCACACTTTTTTGGGGGTCTGGGTCCAAGGCTTACAGCTTTATTATTTTTTTGTCCTTCTCCTTTTTACTGTTGTCGGTTTTGGTCTTGGGAAAAGCTGCCCAGGGAGGAATATAGTCTTGGCTAGGAAATTGGAGCCTTATTCGGGGGGGAGGGGTTCTTTTACTTTTTCATAATAATAATAATAATAATAATAATAATAATAATAATAATAGTTACAAGTTAACCACAACTGGAAAACACCTTAACATTAGTTCACAGACTTTAAAGAAACACTTAACCACAAATGTTGCAGCCAAGAGATCACTTAACAACATCTGTTATAATTCCAGTTCCTGATTGGGGACTTTAGTCTCTGGGTTTCCTCCTTAAGGTTATTTTCGAGTCCTTGGTGTTGGGGACAACAGTCCAGTTAGAGGGATCTTTTTCAGAGTTTACTTCCCCATCTGGTGGTGCCACTGGTCCTTTAACTCGAGTCACGTGTGTCCACCCTTTTTCCCGGGTTCTCACAGCCGTATGTGTGGTGAGTTGAACTTGGTAGGGTCCTTCAAACTTTGGAGTGAGAGGAGAGTTAGCCCAAGATTTTACCAATACCCAATCCCCAGGGTTGATATGGTGTGTGTCTACCTCAAAGGGAGGAGTTTGAGGGAGATACCCTTTTTTCCTGAGGTTTTCTAAAGTTTTAACAACAGTTTCCAAATACCTCCTTGAGGTTTCTTCCCCTTCAGTATACTGGGCAGTGCTGTAAGGAGTAATTAGGAAGGGGAGTCCAAATAACATTTCATAAGGGGATACCCCTAAATCTGCTCGAGGTCGGGTTCTTATCTGTAATAAAGCCAAAGGGAAACATTTTATCCAATCTAATTTAGTCTCCAGAGTCAGCTTGGTTAAGGTCGTTTTTATGGTCTTATTCATCCGTTCTACCCGACTGGAGCTCTGGGGATGCCATGGGGTGTGTAACCTCCACTTTATCCCCAGGGCTTCAGTGGTTTCCTGGAGAACATGGGCAGTGAAATGGGGGCCTTGGTCCGAGTCTATGTTATTGATTAACCCATACCTGGGGACAATATGTTCCAAAAGTATTTTGACTACTACTCTTGCTGTTTCATTCCAAGTGGGAAAAGCCTCTGGCCAATGGGTCAGGTGATCTACAATCACTAGCAGGTGTTTGTATCCCTGTGCTAGAGGCATTTCTGTGAAATCAATTTACACATTTTGGAAGGGTCTCTCCGCTAGTTCCCTCCCCCCTGGTACGGGTTTCGTCATCACTCGTTGGTTTACCCTTTGACACGTTACACAGCCCTGAGTGATGGCCTTTGCTATATCATAAACCCCTATGCAGATGTTCTCCCTCAAGAAATGGTCACATAGACCCTGCGTCCCCCAATGTGTCAATTTGTGTATTTCATCCAATACCCTGCTGTTGCAGTCTGCAACTCCAGGATCTCGTCCAGGGAAGCAGCAGGATTCTGGGGACCAGCATCAAACACCAACCGAGACGGGCTCCCGTTCATGAAACCATTTATTCAGCATGGGAACAAAGTCAGGTCCAGAACAGAGAGCCCTGAACAGAGGCACAGCAGGGGTTTTTGAGGGACAGAACCCCCGAGGTTTTCCACCTTTGAGGGTGGAGTTCAGGGTCAGGGACCAGTAGAAGCACAGCAAGGGAGAACCCCTGCAGGGACTCAAACCCAATCAGAACTCCTGGGCTGCCCTTCTCAAGGGGTTTGGGGTGGGACAATGTAACTCTTTGTCTCCCCTGAGGCTGCTGCCACATCTGCTCCTTTTTTATTTTTTTTTTTTTATTTTTTTTTTATTTTAATTAGGAGTTTAAAATGTTTCCAAACATATACCTTAAAATCTCACCTCCTCCACAGAGCACCCGCTTTGCTTTGTGGGACAACAAAATCTCAATAACAAAACACATTAAGCAAACAGAAAAAACAATATTGAAAACAAACATTTAAATCTCGGACCATGCTGGGCAAATTAAACAGTGATGGTACTTAATGCAAACATAATGGTTTTTTAGTTCAGTCTCTTCCAGTTTAGGATTCTCTTTGAGGAAGGGTGCAGCTCTTAGATCTCCTCTCACGATGGGCAGAGTTCTTCCATCTCCAGTTTCGGCTCTGGTTCCCATGTGGGCATCGCTGCTTTAGATGATCTCGGTGAAACACTGGCTCTGGGAGCTCAGTTCCAGTTTCGATTTCCCCAGAGGAGGTGTTGCCCACGATGGAAAAGGCAGAGCCCCCAGGGGGGAGCACCGAACAAAGGGGTGGGAGCGAAGCAGGAGTTACTGGGGGAAGGGAAGGTTCGGGGCTGGAAAAGAAGGAGCAAGGCGAGAAACAAGGGATCCCAGACTGCGTGGCCAGAGCCATCTTGAGATGGGGGGAGAGGCCGGGATTGACTTTCCCGGCCAGGGAATGGGGAATATGGAAAGACAGGGGGTGAAGGAGGACACAGAACAACGGGCAGACGGCAGCACACCCGCATCACTCTGGATGTTCTCCGTCCCTTGCCTGCCGCATCACTCTGGATGTTCTCCGTCCCTTGCCTGCCTTCAGGAAAACAGGGGATGGGATGGCAGAAAGACACCGGGGTGACGGGGAGACAGCAGCAGCCCCGAGCCATCTTGGCTTTTTTCACCCTTTGTCCTGCCCTTAGGAACAGGGGAAAGGGGAAGGTACAGGGAGGTATACACCAAAAAAAAAAAAAAGGAACTTCACAGAAGACAAAAACAGTCCACCAGAAGAGCCATACCATCCAAAATCATCCATAATGTTAATATAATCATCCATAATGTTAATATAATCGTCCATAATATGTCTCGTTGGGTGATGTAAGGTTTTTGTCCCAGTGTCTGGTCTCGGCTCCCACACCTCCGTAAGCCCTTTTCGTCCCCATGCCCGAGGCACTCCCAACCCAGCCTTCCTGCCAGGTACTCTCGAGTCCTCATTTCTTAGGCGGGGGTCTCGCTGGCTCTCAGGCCATCAGCCGGTGACTTACGAGGTGTCCATGGAGCCGGGTCCTGCTGTTCTCTTGCTTCACTGGATGCCACGCATTCTCTCACCATATGTTGCAGTCAGCAACCTCAGGATCTCGTCCAGAGAAGCAGCAGGATTCTGGGGACCAGCATCAAACACCAACCGAGACGGGCTCCCAGTTCACGAAACCATTTATTCAGCATGGGAACAAAGTCAGGTCCAGAACAGAGAGCCCCGAACAGAGGCACAGCAGGGGTTTTTGAGGGACAGAACCCCCGAGGGTTTCCACCTTTGAGGGTGGAGTTCAGGGTCAGGGACCAGTAGAAGCACAGCAAGGGAGAACCCCTGCAGGGACTCAAACCCAATCAGAACTCCTGGGCTGCCCTTCTCAAGGGGTTTGGGGTGGGACAATGTAACTCTTTGTCTCCCTGAGGCTGCTACCACACCACTATAATATTTTTTCCCCTGATCTATCATGCTGAGCACCATGCAAGGCTGTAGAGAGGTCAAGACAACCTCTGTTTTTAAAACTCTGCCCTGCAGCTATTCCTTATGGTGCTGTCAGCAGGGAAGACATTTTGTCTTCTAAAACTTTACTTCTGATAGTTTTTCACATCTGAAAACTATCTGGGCCAGGGGCAGCACCCAGGGACCTGCCCTGCCTGGGGGAACTTATACCTGGATCTTACAACTAAGTATCAGAAACAAGGGCACACACTCTGTATTCCAGACTCCAACATTTTATTCTTATTCTTAATTTTCCATGTTTTAAGTACTACTACGTCTTCATCTACTTCAGCTTCTACCTCTTCTTCCTAATATTCCTATTCTTATTCTTTATCATTTTTTGGTTTCTGGAGGGTCTTATGAAGGTTTTAATGGGGGGGGTGTGTTGGGTTTTTTTCTTTCCTACTACTACTTCCTAAAAGCAACTTTCTTTTCTTTTGTTAGAATTGTGTGTGTTGCAGTCCAGCAGGCCGCCGTCGTGTCCTGGGAGCAACACCTCCTGTCTGTGTCCATTCCTCATGGCCAAAGTGCCCCAGGATCAGCATGGAGTCCTTTCCGGAGGAGAGGAAATGGCCTTGGAGACCAGCAGGGAGGAGCTGGAGCCAGTGTCCCTGCAAAGGGCCAAG